ACCTTAGCGGTCTCCTGCTTGGGCTTAAGCACTAGCCTGGCAATTTGGGGACTGGGCTTTCCCCCCCCCCCTTTTGTCTTTTTGGTCCAGTCCCTGATGACCTGTGTGTTACAGACAAACAGCCCAAGTCTGACCCACCTTTGGCCGAGGCCTCGAAGCCTCCCAGAGCCCCTGGAGAGCGGGATACGTTTCTATTCGCGTTTGTAATGGTTCCCGGCACGAGTGAGAACGCGTCTGCCTGTGACCCTGGCCGGGATTGTTGTCCGTGGGGGACGACCCCCCGCTCGCTCGGTCCCATCTCCTCCTCGATTCTGTCTCGTTTCAGGACTAGCCAAGGGTGTGTCCACATCATAGTGGCCCAGACCAAAGACAGCAAGTACACGCTGGACCAGACGAGCGCGGTCTTTGGCAGCATCCCCGAAGTGGTGCACCACTACTCCAGCGAGAAGTTGCCTTTCAAGGGGGCGGAACACATGACCTTGCTGCACCCCGTGCACAGCAAGCTGCACTAAGGTCCGGCCAGCAAAGCGCCGGCCAGGCCCCTCCTCCCGCGACGTCGGCGCCCAACCAGCATCCGGGGGGCGAGGCGGGGACCGCACCCCGGGACTTGGTGCGAAGTGAGTCTCCGTCTAGAAGGCATCCTAAATCCATTCCGTGACACTCGGTCGCTGACCTGTTGCTTTTCCACAACGAGAAATCATGATTTACCGGCTGCCTCCGCTCTCTGGGGTAGGTGTTCTGTTTTGGGGAGGGGAGACTCTCAGGAAAGGTGAGTCAGGAGTCCAGGAATATTGTTTTCCAAAAACGTGCTAGTTGTCACGTGGAGGACCTGGTCTCTAAACAAACCAACAAAAACGCAATTGGCATTAATACGAGGCAATAAAAATGGTCACATGGGCCCAGGGAGCGCAGGTTACGGACCCCTTTTCGGAGAAACGGACGAAGAGTGGAAAACGAGTGAACAGCAGGTGATTTGGAGAAAGCCGTGGAGTCCGTGAAGATTCACAACTCTGACAAGATTACTTTGTTGCTCAGCCTTCTAAGAAAGTTGTGTTTTCTCAATCTCTGGGGACTTTTTTATCATTATTCATAGAAGCATAAACAGGCAGGAAGACGCCCCTGACTTAAGAATCAGCAGTATAAATTAAGCCTTGGCATCGTTTTAATTCTGAATTCTAGAATGAAATATACAACAAATCTGAAAATTTGAAAAGCTCAGCAGCCTCGAGCTGGATGATTTTTGCTGGATGATTTTGCAGAACCCTAGTACCTTCGTTCCATCCTCGGGCATTTCGGTTGTTGGGGCTGGTTTTTAATATTTGCTCCCTAGTTTGATTTGCTTTGTGTTTGGGAGTAAATGCTAAGTATATGCATATGTGTACCTCTCTCCGTCCGTCCCTAGGACATGACTGCCCGTGCTCCCCTCCGAAACGTGCAGTGTCTCCTGGGCTATGCAGAGCAGGCCAGCTCCCGGCATAAAGATATTTCTAAAGAGACCAAGGTTTCCCTATGAAGATATTAAATTAATATTCCTAGTCTGCTTACCTTCATGGTTTATTGGGAACTTACATTGACCGTTGACTTACTGTGAAAAAAATTATGTAAAAAACCACGAGAATGGCTTCCTGTGAGGAGACCCCGGGGACGGCCAGCGGTTAGAGCCGAGCAGACGCTTCTGTGTTCCGGGTCTGCCGCGTGGACCTCAGAACTGGCCCGCATACACGTGCACCGTCATCCATGAAAAGCTCATTTTTGTGGCTCCTTTTAAATACACGGAAGAAGTTGATTCGGTTAATTTTTAGGAAAGCATATCTTTCTGGTTAGTAGTTATCATTCTGTCACGATTTAGAGGTTAGTAAATCCTTGCTTTTTTATTCAGTTAAGGTTGTCGCCAACGGGTTGTGTGATCTTGGATTTAAAAACTTGAGAGGAACCTTTTCTTACCGAATCTCAGTGATTTTATTAATAAGAGTCTCCTGTGTTTTAAATACTGACAGAATGTTTTCAGTGTGTATTCACTCTGTGTGACATCTTTGGCACAAGATTTTTTTTGTTACTTTTAGCATCTACAGTTCCAATTCCAAATCAACAAATATTTATTATCTTCCATATACAAATCACTTATTAAACTTATTTTTAGTTCAACATTCTAAAAGTGAAACCTTATTTTCTACTTAAACTTATTCTACAGAATACAGCGGTTATCCTGATTGTAATAAATGCTAAAAGCTTTGTACAGTTTTTCCTTGTGCACTAAATGGTTTCTGTCGCCCCCGCCCCCCAACTGAGGAGTGTGCAGCGAAATGACATTTCGACAGCAAACCTGATGCGTTACGTGTTCATGAAGCTTCGATCACACGCTCAGTATTGTGCTTCCTCTGCAGTCGTGACTCGTGACCTCCTTCGTGCGCCTGGAGGTAGACACGTGGGCTTGTAAATGGTCCAGCTCCCTCAAACCAGACGGGAGGCTGTAACAGGAAGGGACGGAGTAAGTCAGGAGGGGGCTCGCCTGCTGTGCTCTTCCCCCGGGCGGAGGAAAGCCAGGGGCTTCCCGGCTTCAGGGCCCAGCAGGTGTCGCTAGCGGCTTCCTGGGGTTGGGGGCGCGGCTCCTGGGCCCGCTGATCCGAAACCCTGTGACGCGTTTCCACTCTGGGCTCTGAGTGCTTGGGTTTTTTGTCATCTTGTCTTGATGCAAGTACTTGCCCATAGTCTTCATCCTTGTGCGTTACCCCGGTCTCCCAGGGTATTTTCCGATTCCTCCTAAAGAGGATCATGTCCTCTAGCAAATTTGTGCTCCCTGGCCTTGAATATGGCATCCTCGGGCTTCGTCCGTCTGTGACCCTTCTCCATCACCGGCCCGTTTAAAAAATGATGAATTTAGTACCTTCATTTCCGGCCTATAGGACATTTCTTTTTATTTTGCTACCACAGCTGTTTCTATCAGGATGGATTTCAACCAGTGGAGTTGCAGGATTTCAATAAGTAGGAGTAGAATAACGGAGCGTTACCATGTGTCCAAAAAGGAGAGTATTGATGTGCCGCCTCTGTCGGGGAGAGAAGCGTCCTTTTAAGTTTTCCAAAGTACTTTCTTCTTAAGTGTTTAAAAAAAGAGCCTTTATTCTTTGCGGACTCGTCCGTCATTTACTGGCCTCTGCCAGAGGCTGGGGCCGCGAGTAGAAGTTGGAACGGGTGGGGAAATAGCTCTGACCGTTGCAGGGACTATTTGACCGTAACATTACTCGTTAACGGTCATTGTTAGTAAACCACACTTGATTCCGAAGAACCGAGCATCTGAGATAGTCTTCAGTTGCTTTTTGAACAAGGGCAGCCTTTCTGTTCTATTAAAATGCCCGTTTACAGTCGGAGGTCCGTGCCTCCTGTTTCCTTCCGTTTAGGGGAGAAGGCAGACTCCCTTGTCCGCCACGTGCACCAGTTCGCGACACGTCTTTGGCGCCTGCCTCACAGACTTCTCTCCGTCATTAGCTGTCCGCCCGCCGTTTTCCGTAGGCAGCCCTGTTCTCTGGCTTCTGTGCCGGCCACCCGATGACCGTGCGTCCAGGTGGCGCGTGCCCGCCGCCTAGCGGAGGGAGAGCGAACTGCAGGCGGCCCGATGGCGCGCCTCGCTTGCCATCTGGAAACGTGGCCTTTCCTGCCGCCTCGGTGGTTTGCGGACTGTGCCTGGATCACGTCGTCTAGAACCTGAGCCGTGTTTTCATGAAGCTGCAGGCGGGCATCTCATTGGTCGAGTCCTTGACCGTCCGCCTACCTTGTTGGCGGGCTTTACCGTTTTCCCACAACTAACACATACGTTTAGCGTTTGAAAATGCCGTTAGGACGTGTGTGACCCCAGCACCCACGTGTGGCACTTGAGTCATTTATGCCCGAGACACTGTATAAAATTCCAGCCCTCCTGAAGGTTTTACTCTCAGATGCCGCTTCAAATAAACACCGTTCCAAGAAAACTAGTGTTTTTGCTCTCGGGTTACTTTTGAGAATCCCGCCCTTTGTAAGCACCTCCTGCGGCGAGGGCAGCAGCCCGGGGCGCCTTCCCCCTGCCATCATTGCTGACCTGTGGCAGGGAACCGCTGGACCCACCGGCAGACCCGATCCTACTTGTTTCTCCCGGGGCACCGGTCTGGCTTCTTCCCGAACCAGACGTAGTGTCGTGAGCCCCCCGCCCCCCCCCCCACTGTTTCCTCGGCATCTTGTGCGTGGACAGCTGTGGCCTGTGTCCTCACCTCTTACTCGGCTGTAATCGTACAGGTGCCCCTGTCCCACCCATGGGAGGTGATGCTTCAGTCTGTGGTGAAGCTTGAAATGTATAATTTTTTAAACTTGTACCAGGTGATCCTGATACCCAGCCGTGGCCGAGCACCCCCAGTGGAAGGTGCTGTTGAGGACAAGTGCGCAAATACATCCACTGAGGTTCTAGAAGAAGGCTGTCGTGTTGAGTCCTTCAGGATCAAATGTTTTTTTTTTAAGTTTACCTATTTTGAGAGAGAGCACAAGCAGGGGAGGGAGGGAGAGAGAAAGAATCCCAAGACTCAGCACTGTCAGCACAGAGCCCGACACGGGGCTTGAACTCCCGAACTGTGAGATCGTGACCTGAGCCAAAGTCGGACGCTTAACCGACTGGGCCACCCAGGCGCCCTTCAGGATCCAATTTTTAATTCCCGTCGAACGTTCACATAATTGGCCTGGCGGTACAAGTGCCTATTGTGTCTTTCCATCTGTGTGTAACGAAAGGAAGGGCACGTTGAAAATGAGGTCCCCACCCCCCAGCAGTCAGAGTAACGTTTTTCAGGATCCAGGTTGAACACGCATGTGAGAGCCCAGGCTGTGGCCGTTGAGTGTCAGGCTCCGACCCTGTGGACCGTCAAGGTGAGGACCCGGTGTTCTGCTGAAGTGCTTCCTTGCTACCTTCCCGCTCCGGAGTCCCGCGCAGCTCGCCGAGCCAGGCCGGGGCCCCTGTCTCCAGATCCGCACACTCGGAAGAATCTGGCAGCTCATCCCGGGCGAGTCACGGCGGAGGGCGCCGACCACAGCCTGCTCCTCACGGCCTGCGCCCTCCCCTCCCGCAGAGAGAGCAGGCCAGGCCGCAGAATCCCCCACCTTTGAAGGACACTAGCGGGGTGACGGGTGTGAGCTAGCCGCGTGGTTTTGGTTAACAAGTGAAGCATCAAGTTAAGAGCGACACCAGGCCAACAGCCAAGACATGGAAGCAACTCACGAGCCCACGGACTGATGAGCGGGCAAAACCAGGTGTGCTCACGACAGAACGGGACGGTAGTCGGCCTTAAAAGGAAGGAAACGCGGACGCGTGCTTCGGTGCGGGTGGGCCCGGAGGGAGCGTGCGGAGTGACGAGCCAGGCACAAGGGGACACGTATGGCAGGATCGCACGTATAGGACCCCCAAGTTCGCAGGAACGGTGAGGGGGATGGCGGGCGCCAGGCTGGGCACGGCGGGCAGAGGAGGGCTCTTTAATGGCACGGGGGACGGGCTCTGCGAGACGAAATGCTCCGGAGGCCGTTAACGCCGCGGTGCAAAGGTACGTACCGCCTCCACCGAACTGCACGCACAGAAACGGTCCGGTGAAAATTTTATTATGTCTTTCACCGGGGGATGAAACCCAAAACGGTGCCGGTCTGTTCGACGTCCGGAGACCAGTGGGTTCTCTCCCCGTGTGCGAGCCTCGTGGGCTCGGGCCGGGAAAGCGGGGATCGGGTGTGAGGTATGGTCTCCGCCACCAGACCGGTCAAACCCGTGCTGGGTCTGCCAGGTTGGCTCTGAGGGCCTATCCTTTCCCCGGCTCGGGAGAGGCTCTCCTCGAAGGAGCGATGGTCTGAGGCCCTGATAGTCAACGCACTCTTAGGCATTGAGGGGATTCGGGCTGCAGAGTGCAGGTTATCACCTCCAGACCCACACGGGGCCCCAGAATTCCGGCCCCCACGCTGTGAATCGTGCTGGGATGAGTCACCAGGCCGTCTTGGTTCAGACTTACAGTGCTTCCCACGTGATGCTTTTTTAATGATTCGGATTGCCTTCTGATTTGCATCCATAAACGGGATTCCTGAGTTGGATTCATGAGCGAAACATACGTCACTTGTGCCTATAAAAGCTAATCAGTTTAGGGGCATCTGGGTGGCTGTCGGTTGAGCGTCCGACTTCGGCTCGGGTCATGATCTCCCGGTTCGTGAGTTCGAGCCCCGCGTCGGGCTCTGTGCTGACGGCTCAGAGCCTGTTTTGGATTCTGTGTCTCTGTCTCAAAAATAAACATTAAAAAAAAAAAGCTGATCCGTTTATCAGGGTATCGACCAGCACGTTGACCAGCGTGCATCATGGTCTCGGTGAATGACAAGACAGACACGTCGGTACTCATTTTGGGCTGTTTTCAGTGGCATGTTTGCAAGTGAAACATCGCCCCTCAGATCCTCGCAGTTTTTAGAACGGAGAATGTCGGGGCTTTGGAAGGACTCTCACAAGGAGCCGCCCCCACCAGCCTCAGCGCGGGCCGCCTCGTCGCCACCTTTGTTTAACCCACGGCCGCACCTCCTCACGCTCCGTGAACATTCTTCGTACGCAGCGTGGCTCCGCTCTTCCGCACCAGGGGGATTATAACTGCTAAATGAAAAGCTTTCTTCCGTTGTGAAAAAACATACATGCTCAGGAAAAAAAACCCAGCGCGTGAAAGAAAACAGGAGCGTCCGTCGTCTTCGTGACTTCCCAGGCTCTGGAAAGTCACAGAACTGCTCAGCTAGTGCGTGTACCGGGCAGCCTCGGCAAGCCTCTCCCTGCGAGGCCACAGTCTGCCTGTCCGCCTGCACCTCACACCGGACTGGCCACCCGCTCCTAGAGATGGCATCTGCTCAGAACTGTGGTGGGCACCCAGCGCCCTCCCATGTCCCCGCAGCCGCATCCTCCCGTGTCCCTGTGGCCGCCCCCTCCCGGGCCGCCCCCTCCCGTGTCCCCGCGGCCACGTCCTCCCGTGTCCCCACGGCCTCCCCCTGTGTCCCCGTGGCCAGTGCCCTAACGCGAGGACACAGCACTGGTCAGGCAGGCCGGGTTGGCGGCCTCATTCAGCCTCTTAACTAGCCCGGAGTCTTGGGCCACTGCCTTCACCCCCGCCACCTTGTCTGTAAGCTGGCGAGAACGCTCACCTTGCCGCACCATGAGGCCGAGAGAGACTATCCCGTTTGTGCGGCATGTGCTGGACGGTCCACAAATGCCAGCCGCCATTATTAGCGAATTGTAATAGGTCCTTTCTACCAAAAAGGGGCCGTGAACTTCCCGGCGGCCAGTGTGGCCGGTGCCGTCCCTCTCTGCTGTCCACAGATTTTGTTTCCAGTTAATACTCTACGCTGCCACAGAAGCCCGCTCCGGCCTCGTGGCCTCCGGCACAGAGACCCTCACTTCTGGCTGCACAGAGGGGGACCTGGGGGCTCCCACTCGGCCCCGGGGACTTGGCTATCGTGAGTCAGCGGTCCGGGACTGGGGCGGGAGCTCCTCAGACCCTCGGACCTGTCCCCGGAAACGGGCTGAAGGACGCCACGTCCCGAAATGTGAAGCCCCCACAGCACCCGCCTCCTCCTAGAAATGGCCACATTTCAGTCACCCTGGGGCTCGCGACCACCTTCCTCAGAACCGCCTGGGGACCGACTTACCTTTCTGCGCCCACATCAGACCCACCCACGGAGTCCCTACTGTGCACCTGTGCGGGTCTGGGCCCGGGTGGGCCAACACAGGGGGCCGTCTGTCCCCCAGCCTCTCCCTCACTCTTGCTGGGCACGCACCCCAGGAAGTCACACAACACCGAATGTTGCAAAGTCCCTGTTGCGCAGACAGAAACTCAAAGCCCAAGATACAGTATGAGTGTCCTCCTGACCAATTCCATTCTTCAAACAGGCGTAACGAAATGTTAAAATGCAGCTTCCGTGACTCCGTGAGCGATCCGTGAGCCCTGAGCGGCCGTGTTAAGCAATCTGAAATTGCCTTAGAGCACCCTTAGCCGAGGATTTCATGCGTCTATGGTATGAACCTTTCACGATTTTACTGAAAAAACTCTATTCGTGTGTATTGTCGCCTAAAACTTGTTACGAAACAGGACGTGGGTGAGGTGGTGTTTTGTTTTCTAAGTGACACATTTGCGGAAGGCAAGGGCTCCCGCAACGAAAACGCGGACTGGTCCGCATTTGGAGGACGGTACGGGGCTCACGGTCCCTGACTGTCACTGCTTGTGCACCCGCCCCACCGCCAGCCCGCCTGCCACCACCCCGCACTGCCGGGCCACATCTGAAAGCTCGGGGCCTTAGGGCGCCCGCGGGCTCCGTCGGTGGGGTGCTCGGACTCGATCTCGGGGTCGTGAGTTCCAGCCCCACGTGGGGTGTAGAGATGGCTTTAAAGAAAAAACTTTTTGAATTAAAAAAAAGGAAGAAAGCTTGGGGCCTTTGAAGAGCACACAGGCCGGCGGCTTCCCGCCTGTGGCCGGTTCTGCTCAAGGACCCCGAGAAAGGCCGGGCGTCCTTGCGCCTCACGAGCAGGGAAGGGCTTCCTAAGCGGCTCCTCCGACAGCTGCGTGTCTTTGGCCTTCTCTCTGAGACTCGCCCACCGCTCGCCCGGGTCTCGCAGAAAAGAGCACTGTGACCGACAGCGACACCTGGAGAAGAGCAGGGCACCTCCTTCTCCCCCCTCCCGCCCCCTGCGGACATCTGCTTCCTGTGGCGCCTTCTGCCGGACCGGGACCAAGGGGCCAAGCTCGAAGGAGACGGGGGCGCCCTGGAGGCGGTGGGCCGGGCAGGCGCGGCCGTGGCTTCCGTGGCTTCCCTCCGGGCGCCCCGCAGGGCCTCGGCTCGCAGCCTGAGCCACCCAGTCTCTGGGCCCCCAGCCTGGCGCCGCTGACACAGAGCTGCTGCGGGATGGCTCTCGTCCGTCGGGGAGGCGCGGGCGGGCTGCGACCCGGGTTTTCCTGCCAAAGACCCTTTGCGAGAGGGGACGGTTCCAGGCTGCCGCTCAGGAGGCCGCGGCAGCTTTGTGATCCCGCTGACGCCCCCTGTTCAGTAAACAGCCCCCCGATGAGCCGCGGCCCATCCCCTTCCTTCCCCGCCGGGACAGTAAACGTGGCACCGGCACCCACACCCTTCCGGAAGCCCCGGGATTCATTTGGGGAAACATTTGTACAATTAAAGTCTTTCGAGAAATTGCTATTGTTTCTTGGACTTATCTGATTCTTTCTAGAGGTGACTTGGTCCTGCGCGGGGCGAGCGGGGGCGAGGGCTCCACTCACTTTTAAGCCCTTGTCCCCTTTCATCAGGCAAGTCCTTCCTCTAAGCAGCCCGGTGCCCGAGGCATAACTGCATCTCAAGCATATTTGTAGAAATTATTTATTTCAGACACGTACAGTTTTCACTTTAAACACAAAATAACTGATAAAAAGAAAAAAATATTGAAAACCATCATACTGACCCTTTGCCCCACATACAGACATCAGCGTTTGGTGTTTGCTTTCAGGCAATTAGGTAAAAAATAAACACAAAAATTAAAACTATTATTTCTCTCAAAAAAAACCAACCACATTGTAAAGTTGAGGTATTGTGTTTAACAGACACGTGACACCATCCAGGCGTGGTTTCTGCACGCACAGCCTTGCTACATGCTGTTCCTTTCTAAAGCGGGGACGTTTGCAGACTGGCAGTATTTCCTGATAATCATTAAGGTTGTCATAGAAACTCTGAGGCCCTCTGAGGCCCTGCAGGGGACGCTCAGAGGCTTCTGGCGCAGAGCCTGAACCCGCTGGCCCACCTTCCAGCAACAGCCCCGTTGCAGCCGGGGAAGCCAGGAAGGGCCACCCGGTGCCCGTGTCTCCAGATTGAGACAGCAACTCCCCCTGACGCCGGCTGCCAGCCTCGTGCCCAAGTGGGTCAGGCTTCAGGGCCTGTGACGAGGCGATACAGCTCAGCTGGGCAAGACATTCTTGAACATTCTGCAGGAAACCCACCTGGCATGAGCACTCCCAGCCTGCTCTGTTCACCACCAGGCGGGCTCCAGCAGCCGACGGCACGCGTGATGATGGTGACCCATCCCGGGGCGGGGGGCGGGGATTCTGTGAGCCCAGAGCCTGGCAAACGGAAGGGCAAGGCCCCATCTGAGCAAGGAGCTCTCGGAGTTCCCAAAGGCTCTGCAGATACATTCAATGCTACCCCCGGACATCTCCAACGGATTTTCATTAATGCTACAGGAATTACTGACCACGTTAACTGACCTGGAACCAGGGCATTTTCAACTTTTCCCACCCGGCAGGATGGGCCGTCATTTCACATGTGACCGCTGCGGCGGCCGGTGTCAGGTGGGTAACATCGCCGTGGAGGCGTCACAGGCCCGGGAGGCGGCCGTCGATTGGCACACAGAGAGAGAGCTTGGCAGGGGCCCCTGTGCCCGCCAAGCAGCCTACAACCCAGAGGAAAACCCTCTTCCTTCATTTGCGCTAGCTTATAAAGAAAGAAAGGGAGGAAACCCTCTCCAATACACACACACAAGAGGCAGCAGTTTCATTACAATAATAACGAAAGCGGTAACAGCGTGGAGATCACAGCGGCACTGGCGCCCTCAGCAGCCCAGAGCTCCGGATCGCCATCTTCCGCCTACGGCTCAGCCTGCCACCAGGGTAGAGCCCCGTGAAGAGTCAAGGACCCACAGGCACAGAGTCACCCTTTCCCATGCACACACTGGCTTTTCGCATTTCCCGTTCACAGCGTTTCTGCTGTTCTCAAAGAAACGGTATAGAAAAACAACAACAACAACAAAACCCCTGCCTAACTTCTGTCGGCTTAAGACCAGTTTCCAAAAGCAGCATCAGGGCCTGAGAGCTGCCCACAGCATGGCAACGAGACCCGCCCACCGGGGCAGGGACAGCGTGAGCCCGGCGAACAGCGAGCGATTCGTGGTCATTCCACCCCGCTGCCGCCTGTCTGGTGCTGGTGGTTGTTTTTCTAAAAAGGTAGCTGATGAGAAAAGTCTGTGGTTCCTAAGTTTTCAGCCGTGGCCACAAGGCTGACTGATCACAGCTTCATCCTGGGACAGCCCATGCTGCTGGAGGGCACTTGCTGGGGGAACCTTGAGCATCCCCCGGTTGTCATGGCCGGACGCACGGCCACGGCCACACGCTCCGCGCTGCTCCCATCCCAGCTGAGCTGAACCGAATTCAAGGAACTGAAGAAGGCTCCACAGAAGCAGACTTTGTAAGAAGGCCACCGCCCCCCCGTGCCCGGGGCTGGGGTGGGGGCTGGACAGCGAGCGTGTCCCCTGAGGCTGCCTGGGGGGGAAACAGCTGCTTTGCCCCAAGTTCGAAAAGAGGCAGTTGTTTTAGGACAAAAAAAACAGGACAGAGAATGAAACCTGACTCTGCTCGAAAAGGAAAATTGTGTTTTCTCCTCCTTTTCCCCTTGAGGCAGTTTTGTGCTACACAAGCGTCCTCGTCCTCACCGAAGTGACTCCTGTCCCGACACGGGGCGAGCGCGGGCTCTCGTGCCCTCTCAACATCAAACAGCAGTTCTCGTAAAAAGCAGGTTAACATACATTCTTGCTTTCTGTCTTTTCACATAAATATCATCTTCCCTTGTTTCCTCGGGCTCAGCTGAAAACAAAGCAGACGGAGGCAGAGCAAAGCGGGTGTGAACCCCTCACCGCCACGGAGGAGGCCCCCGCTGCCAGTTCTTGGGGGGGCGAGGAGGCCTGTCCCCAGCACCTGCCCCCCTTTTCGTCTCTCCTCCTTTAGTCCTGGGGTCCAGACGGGGAACTGGAGCCAGTGCACCTGCCTGCGGTCCAGCCAGTGCCCAGGATCGCCCTTCCCATGCAGCACGATGCGAGTGAGGAAGTGAGTACGATGCCACTTCAGACCCCCAGGCCCTGAGACGCTCTCCGACCCGTCTGTGCTGTTTTCAGGTGTGGGGAAGGCAGGCGAGCCCTCTCCCGCCCTCGGACCTGAGAAGACTGCATGGTGAAGGCACTTGGGACTCCAGCTGGGAGGTGGCTCGGTGCAGGGCACCAGGGGGCCGGCGGCTGGGGTCCCACCTGCCGCAGGGTGCGGCTGGTGGAGGCGAGCGGGGTGTGCGGACGGCCAGCAGGTCAAGTACGCCACGCCTGCACAGCCCACACCCGGCTCTGCTCCCCCGAGCGTCCAGCACGGTGGACCCACGAGCCTGCGTGGGCTCGGGCCCCTCGGGGGCGTGTGGGAAGGGGCGGTTCCCGGACACCAGCAGGGGCCGCACGCCTGTTCCAGGAAGCCAAGCGCCTCCTGCGAGGCCGCCCCGCGCCGCCGGCGCCCGAGAGGGGCCGGCTGGCGCTCTGTCCTGCACACGGCAGGGCCGGCCTGGCCCCCGCCCGCCCCGCGCGCCCAGCCAGCTATCTGGGTAAGAAGTAGTCTCTGTTAGTGACGTCGTAAGCGCTCCGGGGGCCCCTGGCGTCCGGCCGGCCGTGCCCCGACGTGTTGTCAGACCCGAGGCTGCCAGGGTTCACGGGAGGAGAGAGGAGGGGGACGAGCCCCGGCCTGGGCTGGGGCCTGTCGGGGACCAGCTGCCCCAGAGCATACGGCGGCTGTGTGCTGGCCTTGCCTTCCTTCAGGGCCTGCAGCTTCCACGTCTTCCTGAACCTTCACGGAGACAAAGACAAAGCACACGGCCGTTAGTGCCCCGGGGACGGACCCGAGTGAGAAACGCCGGCCGCTGGCTCCCCCGGGGGCCCGGCGCCGGCCTTCCGCTCAGAGGAGCGAGAGCCGTCTACCCCATCACAGGGGCTTACACGGCACGGCGCTCTGAAGAGCTGGGGGTTTCAAAAACACGCCAAGGGACACGTGTGTACTGTTGGTCCCACTTACAAACGGGGAAACTGAGGCACACGTGGCCAGGTGTGTCCCTTCACTGCACTAAGCACGTCATCGGTCCTGTGCCACAGGCTGCGCACAGGTGCACCATGGGTCCCAGGCCCATTCGCTTGGAAAAGAGAGGAAGGAAAACGGCCCTGTGGGTCAAGCTCCGGCCAGCGGGGCCGACGGCTGGCAGCCTCCGTTCAGCAGGGGCAGGGCTGCCCCTCCGTCCGCAGCCCTGCTCCTCTGGGCCACTCCAGCCACGCTGGTGAGTCCGCACAGACCCCGCCGTGGGCACCGTCGGGCACAAGTGACTCATCTGACAGGAAAGCAGATCTTCAGCAGGAAGGAGATAAGCATCTCCGATCACGGCTCCCCTCAGGCTGCTCTGCGCCGGGCCCACGGCCAGGGCGCAGGGGCCGAAAAAGTCACTCGCGGGCCAGAGTCTCCAAAGATACATCAGGCCCCTTCCTGAGGGGCCCCGTGACCACACGGCCGGCACCCCGCTGCCACCGCTGCCCCGCTCCCCTCTGTCACCTCCTTCGGCCCCACCTGACGTCAGCTGCTCCAGGAAGGGCTTGGAGGGAGGAGGGAAACCAGTGTCAAAAACAAGGTTTGGGGATTTTCCTTGGGTTTCTTTTTATATCAACAGGCTATTCCTGTTCTGGTGACGATAAATCATGGAGAGTTGGCTCCAATCTGCCATTGGCTGCTAGCCTGTTACCCAAATGGAATAAACAATCTTCAGAATGTTCCTGAAGGCTCCGCCATTCAGGCACCGGGCAGGGAAGGCAGTGGGGCCCTTGGGGGCAGTTACCCTCCCTCAGGGGAGAGCCGAGGGCAGGCATGACACTCTGCGTTTCAAAATATTCAGACCCTCTGACCCAGGAGTTCCATTTCTGAGAAAACACCCCAAGGAAATAGCAGGGCTGTGGGAAAAGCGTTCCGTGCGAAGGTGTCAGACTCGGCGTCGTCTGTGAAAGCAAACCCACCCGAACGCCCATCGAAGGCTGCTGGAGCGAGCCTGGGCACAGCGGCCCGACAGCGGCTCAGGAATTTCCTGAAGTTCAGGAAAGTGAGGTGTAACAGCAGCGAAACGATGCGGGAAAAGCGCTTAGGTTGTAACTGAGGCCAAATTCACAAGGCAGGACTCACGGCTGTGGATACAGGACAGTCACGGCGCCGTGAGGACAGAACTGAGCTGAGGACGAGGCTCGGGAAACGCATCCAAACGCCACGGTTCTTGATCGGGCTGTGGACCATACGCTCACTTCGCGCAAGCTCATGGACCTGCTGGCTTGGGACGCGTGCGCTTGTCTGTATCGGCCAGACTTCGACCACATTCACGTTTTCACAAGCAAAAAGGCTGTCTTTGGATACCGCGGGATTTTTTCTTCCTTCTACTTATCACCATTTAGCAAACAAATTTGTTTTGAAGCCTCTATCGACATTATTTAACCTACAGGGAGAGTAGCATCTGACCTCTTTTTTCCAAAGCAACTAACTGGATGGGTAACTAAGAACGACGAGCTTTTCTTCTTTTGAAATATTTTGAGTGAATGAGACGCTTTCTACAAATGACTAGGCTCAAAGGGACTTTGGTTGCAGCCAGCCTGGGGGGCGTCCACGGCAGGCACTGCTCCGGCCTGAGCGGGGGGTCTGAGCAGGCCGGGGGCTGGAGAGGTTGGGACATGGGGGCAAAGAACCAAGCTGAGCGGCCAGACTTCATGCACCCCAGTCGCCACCTCGTGTCTTACATATTTGGGCTTCATAACGTTTTAAGAAAAGTTTCTGCAGCTAAAAGAAAAATTTTAAAACATTTATAACAACTGTCACTCTTTTAAACAAGTAACCCAGTGAGAAGCGACACACAAGGTGGTTTTAAAACATTGGGATGGGGGCGCCTGGGTGGCTCAGTCGGTTGAGCGTCCGACTTCGGCTCAGGTCATGATCTCATGGTTCGCGGGTTCGAGCCCCAAGTCAGGCTCTGTGCTGACGGCTGGGAGCCTGGAGCCTGCTTCGGATTCTGTGTCTCCCCCTCTCTCTGCCCCTCCCCTGCTTGCTCTGTTTCTCTCTCTCTCTCAAAAATAAACATTTTAAAAAATTAAAAAAAAAAAAAGAACTGGCCTGTTTCCAAATAAATTTGCCTGAGACGAGAGAAAATGGAAAGTCACCAGGCAAGGAAATAAATTACTGTGTGTTCTCAACACGAGGCTCGTAGCAACCACCCAGCGTCCAAGCACCATCTGCAGGTGAGCAAACAAGCTTTATGATGAACGGCAGGCGGTTAGCGCCCAGCCTAACGCTTCTCGCTCAGTGGTGAACGGCACAGCAAGATGGGGCTGCCGGTCAGTGAAGCCACCGGCCAGGAGCGGACGGGCCGCACTCCCCGGGCCCACGTCGGCCACAGCAGGCTAGCCTAGTGGGTGAGGACTCTCGGGGCTCGGGCTCTAGTCCTGGCTCCAGGCGCAAAGTCACCCTGCTTCTCAGGTCCGCTCCCTCATTTGTAAAAGTAAAGAACTTCCCTAAACGACCGTGACGGTCACATCCACAGAACATGAGCTTGGGGTTTGAATCCTGGCCTTTGCAGCCGCTGTCTCCCACGCTCCCCCAGCTCCAGCCTCCTCGCGGGCCAAGTGGAGGCCCCGACGGTTCCTCGGTGGGGTCCGTGGCGGGCCCGCAGGCGGCAGGAGAGGGGCGGCGAGTGCTGGCAGGGCCCCTCTCTGCTCCAAACGTGTAAGAGCTGGTGAGACCTCGGCCTCCCACGCTCTGGCCTCACCTGCACACCCTCCACACGACTGGCTCGCCACTGCGCTGGGCGTCCAAGCGGACGCCACCCCGAACGCAGTCTGAGTTGTCACCCGGACCACCGTGGTGCCACGGCCGCTCTCGAGACTGCGCAAGGGCCCCGGGAGCGTGGCGGTCTCTCGCCCCCAAGCCTCCCCTCACGATCACCAGCGACAACCCGGACAGCCACCACCAGACAAGAGGCAGGAGGGACAGGCTCCAGTTCGCCCTGCGCTGGTCCAGCCACCGGCCAAGGCTCCCGAGACCTCAGCACAGGCAACACCGTGAGCTCCCGCCAAGGCCACGAACACGCCTCCTGCCCACGCCTCAGGAGCACTGCTGGCTGACGTGTCCGCAAGCTCGGTGTGAGTGACAAAGCCGACGGCGCGAAGGGGGCACGGTGCCCATCGGCCTGTGTGTTTCCTAACCTCAGCTGGAGAGGTGCGAGGACACAGCGCTGAAAGGTGACCCCTGCAGGTCCCCGGGAGGTGTGGCCAGGCCCCTCGGACTCGCCCGGGGACAGACTTCCGTGCTGATGCCCGCGTGGCACCCTCCCCATGTCTGTACACGGCTCCCGTGGGACAGACCACGTGGAACGGCACTGCAGCCCCAGGGCCTGACGCCTCACTTCTGTGTCTCGCACACACCCCACCCCCCTCTGATCCGTCAGCACGGTTCCCGGCTCCCCTTTGCTCTACACAACCTTCCCGTGTTGGAATTCCACACAGATTGTCCTGGCCTTGCCCGCATCCTGTCTACATGCTCGCAGTCTCCACGAGACTGACGATCCGCCAAGCGCCCAGCTGCTGAGGCAAGAGACCTGAGGGTCACACTGGACCCTTGCCCCTCCTCCTGCTCATCTGATCCGTCTGCAAATCTGGCCAGTTCTTCCTCTAAAACACATGCCGCCACCAGCAGCACAAGCTAGATGAGGAGGGGGAGGCCAGCACGGGCCCCCCGGGCCCCACTCACCACGGGACGAGGCCACGGTCCCCCGGGCCCCACTCACCACGGGACGAGGCCACGGGCCCCCCGGGCCCCACTCACCACAGGACGAAGCCACGGGCCCCCCGGGCCCCACTCACCACGGGACCAGGTCACGGGCCCCTCAGGACCCCGCTCACCATGGGACGAGGCCACGGTCCCCCGGGCCCCACTCACCACAGGACGAGGCCATGGGCCCCCAGGACCCCGCTCACCACGGGACGAGGCCACGGGACCCCCGGGCCCCGCTCACCACGGGACGAGGCCATGGGCCCCTTGGACCCTGCTCACCACAGGACGAGGCCACGGTCCCCCCGGGCCCCGCTCACACAGGAAGAGGCCACGGCCCCCCGGGCTCTGCTCACCTTGGGACGAGGCCACGGTCCCCTGGGCCCCACTCACCACGGGACGAGGCCATGGGCCCCCAGGACCCCGCTCACCACGGGACGAGGCCATGGGCCCCCCGGGCCCCGCTCACCACGGGACGAGGCCACGGGCCCCTTGGACCCCGCTCACCACGGGA